ACTTTTTAATTTTAAGGAAATGTCAATAGCAGCATGCAGGACCTTACATAAGGGGGGAGGGGGAGACGGAATAGGGCACTGAACCCATGCCCAAGAGTTCGTGGATTCTATCCCCGCCGGTAAAGACTCCCTGTGTAGTAAATGGTGACTGATGCACGTTAAATCTGTCGTGTCGCAAGGTCCTCCATTTTCCCATAACAAGTCACTACTTCTGAGGGTACTGATCCAAAAGTTTCCTTGTCTTCTGGATGGGTTCAAAATTACAAGGCTACGGAGTTGTACATTAGTAGTCGTAAACCCGAAAATTGGGTCGGTTGTTCAACGACGGATATAAGATATAAAAAAGTAAGGCTTTTAACTTTTTGAAAAGGTTAAATTTTTTACTTTTTTAAAATTTTGTTTTTAGAAAGGAAAAAAAAACTAAATCATTAATAATTCTTCTGCACTGGTGTGACAGTCCTGGGGGTGCCCTGGCCTTCTAAAGAAGTTTCCAACTGCAGCTCTTTGGCGACTGTCCTCCGGTTTTTGATTTTCAAAGTATTAATGTCCTTTCCAACACCTTAAATCCACCTAAGACATGGTCTTTCTCTTCGTCCTGTTCCCATAGGTATTTGATAAGAATATTTTCTTGTGTGCTTCGGCCTTCCTGTATTCTGATTATATGTCCAGCCCATTTCAGCCTTTGTATTTTCATGTACTTGATAACATCAGGCTTCCTTACGATTTTATCCAGCTTTGAGTTGTTCACCACGAGCCGTTTACCTGAATTCCACCCCCAGATTAGCACCCTTCTTTCAAAAATTGCAATCGCCTCCTTGTCTTTCGAAATCAATCTCCAGGTCTCAGAAGCATAAGTCAAGAGTTTTACATAAAATTAATTTAGTTCTTAATTTTAGAAAGTTTGATCTCTTATATTTTTTCATACTGCGAAAAGCATCTATTAGCATTTGTGATTCGTTTATGCTTTAGTGTAGTAAGGTCATTGTTATTGAAGTCTGCTCTTAAATAGGTGAAGCAATCTACTTTTTTCAAATTTGTATTTATGAATTTCTAAATGACAAATTTGGAGATCTGAATTTAAAAATGGTATATACTTGGTCTTTTTTACGTTTATTTTTAAATTCATCGTCTTTTGTTTTAGTACATAAAAGGGTAGTTCGGGCCACAATAGCGATAGATCTGACTTACTAAAGATATTTCTTCTGGTGCTTACGTTAGAATTTTTGATAACCTTTTCTTGAGCAATATTAAATAAAATTAAAAACTGTCTAGGTCTTGTGTAAGTCATTGAGTTCGTTGACGATGGATCCTTTTATCCCCAACTGGTGATCAACACCCAGTTCTCGTATTTGCATGAAAGGGGTTCGGAGAGTCACCATTCGCTCTTCGGTCTGGTTAAATTCTTTCATCCGCTTTGGTACTTTTGTGAGGCACGGGCTTCATGCTTGCGTTTGCGAACGGAATCCTTTCGTTTTTCCGTTTGTGTGTAATGCTTAAGGTATTCCCGTCTAGGCTCTTTAGCTTTGTCTTTTTCAGCCAGGGTAAGTTTAGGGCTTGGCATCATTTTTTTTTTCTTGCTTCAACTCTGACTTGTCCCGCAGTGGACTGATCGTTAAGACACGGTTCCCAGCAGATCACTGAAGTCAAGCATCACTGGCTACGGACAGTGTGCGGGTGGGTGACCACTTGGATCAGTCTACGTAGGAACCGAGGGTGTGCGGTATTGGTCCTCGTTAAACTGTTTTACCGTAAAGTGCTCGACTTCACGAGCTACCGGAGCGGGGGTGCCATCTCCTCTGCTGAGGTTCAAAATTGTGATGGCATGTCTTCGGATCATCCTCAGGGGTGTTTCCCAGACCATCGCCAATAGCCTATCGTTCAGCTCTAGTAAATTAACTACAGCAATAACTCTGACTTTCGGGACGGTGTCAGTAAGTTTGGGACCCTCTTTATGTGTGATCTTCACCTGAATTAGTATTGAAAATGATCCAGTTTGAACTGTAGGTTAGAATTTCTGATTCTTAATTAAAACAAAAAATATCGTTCAAATGATGAAATTCTCTTTTATTCACAACTCAAGAAGTACTTACGGGATCTCTCTGGTCCCATATTTCAAAAATAAATTCACCAACTTAATGCATAGCAAAATTAAAAATCAAAAAAAGGATTCTAAAAAAAAAGATCAAACGGCAGCGGTCGCCATAGCAACGCATGCGCACTGTTTACTATCAGTCTTGATTATTGTAGTTGAAAAGTGAGGACGCCATGAAACCCAAATCAAAACCCATTTGGCCATTAGGTAATAAGAGATAAACCAATGCATCTCCGTGATGTTCTTTATATCCAAATCCTTTCCTGGGATATAAATACCCAGTTCATGCATAGCTTCCTATTATTTTTCAGTTTTTTTTATTGCAATTTCTATAAGAAGGTGGCTCAATAGTCCCATTGTTTTTCTTTACTGATGCACTGTTTCGGGGCAGGGAAGGGGGAGATTGACATTTAACAATGGAATACCTGCAAGTGACGTAGTGTGGGTATCTCTATCCTGATTGGTTGTTGAAACGTGGCATTTGTTTACGTTAGCAATTGTTCTTTGCATTCTATTTCGAATAAGCCAAGCCCATCAAGTAGCAGTTCTCTTAAGTGACACATTCTAAATTCTTTCACAAAGATTCTTTCTCAAAAATTTCTATTCTATCAATACATATTTACACAGAGTCTAAACACACAGACAGGTGAAACATAAACAAACTGATCATGCATCAAAGTTGCCAGGTATGCAAAACAAAAATCTATCACGGTTACAATAGAATACGTAAAAGAATAATAACTCTAAGTTAAGCAAGAGAAGTAGACAAGAATAATCATATTTTCCCTAATTCGATATGCTTTGCATTGTGGGTATGTGAGGTCTTCTTCTTCTTGAAGTTCAAGTACCCAATTCATGAAAGTGTTCCTTTATCTATCAAAAATATCACATTTGTTACTAAGGATGTTTTTATTTCTTCCTCTACAGAGTTCGGTTCTTGTTTTAAGACTTTTCCGTCCAAGATAAATTTCCTGAAAGAAAGCTCTACTTTCTCCTGCTCCCCTATGGTTTGTCTAAAATAAGAACTCCCCCAGACATTCATCGGGACCTGTGGCGGTGACTAAAGTAACGAGGTATGACTAGTTCAAGTAGGGGTGCGGGGCCACTGTTTTGGAGTTTTTTCGGGTCGGTTAGGCCAGAAAAAGGGAACCTCTTCCTTCGGTCTTTTGTGTAAGTCCTGAAGTGAAGCTATATCCCTAAAATGCGCCATTCCTGTTTCCATAGCACCAGACGGCCTCAGACTTTGTGGCGGGAGGAGTTCTTAGCTTAGACAAACTATACATTAATGGATGTTTATGTGAACTTGAGAAAATATATTGGCTTCATATTAAAAGAATGTAGGTTTGAGAAATTGAACTTTTAAAAACCATATTAAAATCCGTAAAACATTCATATATAAAATGAAAATAAAGATTAAACAAGGAACAGAATAGAAAGGAAAAATATTTATTAAAAGAAAGGAAGAAAAATTATTAGCACTCACACTATTGTACTGATATATTTTGTTTTGGCTTTATTAATACAATGCTAGAAAGCACTTTAATTTGTGGATATAATCGTGATTATATCGCTTCGATAATTTGCTTCAAGTTTTTTTAATTTTGTAATTTTTTTTTTAAAGAAATTAGATATGTTTAATAATTTTCATCTTTTCTCGTAAAAATATTTTCCCTCTTTATTTATTTCCTTGTTTCATTCGTATTATNTTTTTTTTAAAAATTTCAGATTAACTGTATACTATTTCGATTTTTCAATTTGTTAAAGTACTGTTTTAAAATCGGGAAAATTTCAAATTTTAAGAATCTACCTGCAAAACTTCGAAAATTTTAAGAATCCATGCGCAGAATGAATTTCAAATATTTTAAACGCAGAACATTAAAAATTTTAAGAACAGGAACGCAGATATTTGTTGCAGAATTTAAGTACCTATACGTAAAATAATCTTTAACTATTTTAAAAGCAGAATTTTTCAAAATTCTGAACCGGAACGGAGTTTTTCGGAAATTTTTATTATCCATATGCAGGACGAATTTAAAATGTTTTTTATTTTAGAACTTTAGAAGTTTTAAGAATAAGAATACTGATTTTTAAAACCTTTACTTACAACATATTAATGCAGAATATCCGAAGTCTTTTTAGAATCTACAATCAGAAGTTTTGAGAACCGGAGAGGAGAGCTTAAAAAAATTTAATATTTTACCTGCGAAATTTAAAATTTTTTTACCGATTGAATCCCAAGTTAAGCTAGAAACAAAATGAAGAAATAAGTATTCAGGATTTATTTATCTGCTCTATATTATTCATTATTGGATGTTTAACTCATTATAAAATGAAAAAAAGTTTCGAAGAAGTAATAAATATATTCATCCAAATTAAAGATAATGGAATATCTAAAAAAAAAATCGTTTTATTTTTTCGTAATGAAATATTTAAAAAAAATCATTTTATTTTTTCGTAATGGAATGTTTAAAAAAAAAATCGTTTTATTTTTTCGTAATGAAATATTTAAAAAAATCATTTTATTTTTTCGTAATGGAATATTAAAAAAAAAATCGTTTTATTTTTTTGTAATGAAATATTTAAAAAAATCGTTTTATTTTTTCGTAATGGAATACTTAAAAAAAAATCGTTTTATTTTTTCGTAATGGAATATTTAAAAATAAAAGCTTTATTTTTTCGTAATGGAATATTTAAAAAAAAATAAAATCGTTTTATTTTTTCGTTGCGGCGGACGGAAAGTTCATTTTGATTATCTTGTGGTTGAAGTGAAAGTCCTCCAAAGAGAGAGAGAGAGAGAGAGTGAAGAGACGTCATGGGAGGTAAAGACACCTCCTGTCCAATCGCTATTGAAACGCATGACGTGCTGACCTATTTTTAACTCGACCGCTGCGCCGAATGTATATACCTACTTTATTCCCCTTCTCTTACCGCAGATTAGATTGAAGCATCGATCACGAGAGCTACAGGAACCTGTTGCTCTCCGAAGTGTGTTGCGCGTGCGCCCAAACAAGAGGGTAGCGGTGGAAAAAAAAAAGAAATCTGACGTAGTTATGTTGCTCTCTTTCTCCAGTGTTCCTCACACCTAAGCGAAAACTCTCGGAATCAACAAGTCGCGCGCGGAGCAAAGGATTACATACCGTGTTTGTGTTGTGTTTTTTCGGAAGTGAGGAAAAGGCCTTCGCGACGGCCACTATCAATTGGGCAGACTTGGACAACAGATCGCCATGCTACACGCAAAGCATGAGCTCACCTCACATGTATGATCCAGCATTTCCTACGGTGGACGATTTGAAAGCCAAGTTGAATAACTTGAGCTCTAAAAATAACGGTGGATCTAAAGGACTGTTGGATTTGTGCGAGGTGCCGGACCTGTCCGACCCGGAACTCTCGTTCGATCTCCAGAATATAATCGGTCCGGACAACGGTCATCCAGTATCGAATTTGGACGAATCGTCTAGTCTGTTTACTGATATCCTTGTTGAACAACAGCAACAACAGTCTAAAAGGAACCCTTACGGCCTGCAGCAGACGTTTACTTCATCCAGATACCCACAGCCCATGCCACAACAATCCGCCCTTGGAACTGACCATTACGGAGCCGAAGCGGGAATTGGAATTAAAAGAGAACCCGTGGACCACATCGATTTGAGTAGTTGCAGTCAGAGGTCTTCGTACACGAACGGATCCAGCATATACTCCTACTCCCCCATCACGGAGAGGGCACCCAATGGTCAGCTAGGTGCCTTCTTACCTAACCTCGGAAGAACTGGCCCCCCGGTGCACAATGGGGGTTCTATGAAGAGCCTGTCCCACAAGCACCACAAGAACAAAAAGAATGTGGACAAGTCGTCTGACGAATATCGTCGGAGACGAGAACGCAACAACATAGCCGTCCGTAAATCGCGCGAAAAAGCGAAATTGCGCAGTCGGGAAACCGAGCGCAAAGTGTCCGAGCTTGTGCGAGAAAATGATTTCTTGCGCAAGCGTGTTGAACTGCTCACCAAAGAACTTAACGTCTTAAAATCTCTATTGGCCAATGTGGGTGTCCCTCCCGACAGCGTGGACAATGAAGTGGCCAAAACACTTCACATGGACAATTTCCATGGCATGCAAGATCTCTGACCAGTTATGTGTTCTACTCCATTATTTATTTAAGAGAGAAGTGTGTGCGATGTAAGAGCATTCAATTTTATTTATTCTTTTTTTGTGAGCGATTTTAATCAAAATTTGTTCGAAAGCACACCTTTGATGAATGCGTGTGTGCCCCAAATTGGATAATCGAATGTTTTTAGTTATAATAATGAAACCAACGGTAAGTGTCATCAAATTCCATGGACACAACTTTTCTCCAAATTCTTCCTTCTTGATTTCTCATTTACATATCAAAACTGGATAATTTGCATTTTGTACCGATTTTGTGGCATTATATAATTAAACATAGTATTAAGCATCCTATTTATACTGGTTTAAAAAAAAAAGGTGTTCGATGTTTTTTTACTATGAAACTGATTTTTCTTCAGTGAAATATTTTTTTATGAGCACTGTTAAAAATTCACATTAAAATTTACTATGACCCGGTTGTAAATATACCTTAATCATGTTTAGAAATGATAACGTTATTGAAAGAAAAAAAAATCGTTGTGAAGAATCTTTTAAATACATATTTGTATTTATAAATTTCACTGTTGTCTCCTGTAAATATTTAACAGTGTCGGCCAATTTCTCATGTTCTCATAGCGACGGCCATAAAATTCGTTATAGTAGTATTTGCATTTTTTTTTCTGTTGGAATGTTTATAAATTACGAAGCAGTGAAATATTTTAGAATTTACATTTAAACTTAACTTGACAGGATTCGAACAGTCCTTAATACTATAAAAAAAAAAATCAAATGAATATTATAATAAGTATGTAAATGTATTCATGCAGTTTTTTATTTCAGAGGGATATTTAAATTCTGAACTTATCTACAAAAAATAGTAACACTTTTTTATTTATTTTTTTAGGCGCCATGCAAACCATATTTTAGGGAGGGTTGTTTTCATTTCTTGAAATTGAATTTATGTGGGAAATAATTATAAAAATAAATCAAGAACTATTTATAATAATTTTCTATTACATCATCCTGTTTAATATTACAATTTAATTTATTGTTGCCATTTCAGAAAGATTAATTTGAGAGAAGCGAACTGAGAGAATCTTTTTTTTTTTTTTTAAATGAATAATATTTATAAATATGTTTATATATATAGATTATATATAGAGTTATCATTCCTGCGAGAAAAAAAAAAGTATTTTATTCATATTTTTGTGTGTTTCAATCATATATTGTTATTTGTTATTATCATTCAAAACAGGCATCATTTTTGTGAAATAAGTGTTTTAACATTTTTGCCTGTGTGTTTTTGTTTAAAATAAAGAATTCGTTCTGTTTATGAATTTCTTTTGCATTTAATGTTGTTGTTTTTCAATTCTTACAATATTTTGATTATTGTTTGACATTAATGAATGATTCATAAATCTTTCTTTTTTTAGTACATTAATAATTAAATGTGCTCTTAGTTTTAGAGCAGTGTTTTAATTTATGATGAGAATATTTCTGTATTGTGATCTGTTACAGGAACTACAAAAAAAAAAAAAAATCATGGAGAGGTTTGTTTGCTGTCCAAAAGTTGTAAGAACTTGGCAATTATTCTGCCTTGCATCACAGTACAGAAATTTCCTTAAGTATTAACATGAATTATAAATATATCTGATTTAAAAATCTATTTTGTTTTCTAAGTTGGAATTCATGTTTCTAATTTTTTAGCACATTTGATATGTTTCAAAATTAAATTATTATTTTGATGTATAATTGAAAATTATAAATTCTTTTTTTTAAGGAAACATTTATGAATTGTTTGTTGATGCCTTATTAATTTATTCCTATGAATGATTTTGTTGCAATTACCAAAATATTCCAGTGTATTTTTTGTCACGATTATTTACAGTTATCAATTAATTGATTATTTAACAAATTTTAATTAGGTTAGTTATCGCATAATCAAAAAAAATCTTAAACTTTTTTTGAAACAAAAAAATCCAAACTTTTTTTTAATCACACTGTTGGTTATCATTTTTATTACATTGAAAAAAGTTTTAATCTTGCATTATGGTAGTTGAGGACGTATTTTTGAAACTTTAAAATTTAAAAAAAGTTTGTTTTGAAACTTAAAAATATATATTGTTATGAGTTTTTTATGAAGTGTTACATCAATCAAAAAATATGCTAAAATTTTTTTTTAACAATTCTCCTATGAGCTATTTCTAAAAAAGAAATTTCAAGAAGTTTTTATAAAAAAATAAATATTTCTAATTTTGGATAAAACTAAGAATATTATGATTTAATATTAATTTTGTTTTAATAAAAAATTTTGTATTTTATTTTTGCTTTCAACATTTTTTCGCCATTAGCATTTTAAAAAAATTACTAATGACTGTTTTTTTTAAAATTATTTTTTAACAAAAAACTTTTAAAATAATTTTTAAAAATACATGAAAAATTTTCAGAATGCACATTAAAATAAATTAATTAATATGTATATATGATCCAAATTTCATGAAGTTATCTTTAAAGGGTTTTGAGAAATGTTCTTTGAAAATTAGAAAGAACATGATTTCTAATTTTTATTGGGGACATATATAGTTATGGACGCCCATAGTCATTTTTTAGAGTAAGAGAAATAGCACTTATTAACTTTTAGAACTTCTATGGATATTACTCCAAATATGTAAAGCAGTAAAATTAATATTATTATTTTTTGATAAGTATATTATTAAATGCTGTCTATTTTTCCGTTTTTAGAATTTTTGAAATTTAATTTACAGGATATTCACGCGCACCTGGAAAGTCATGAAAAATCATGGAAAGTCATAGATTTCGGTATTGAACAAAATTTGTCATGAAATGTCATGATTTTAACTATTTTTTTTAAAATAAAATCAAGGATTGTAGGCCTCTGAAAAATCGAATTTTTAAAATGGAATTTACAAATTTCATAGTATTCCGAATATCTGAATTAGTAACAAAATCACAGTCCTATTTTATTAAAATATAAGATGTTTTTATCCTGATCTTTAAATAATAAAATTTAAAATGCTTTTATCCTGATCTTTAAATATTATGAATGGTGTTCTTTCAAAAAATGAAAGAAAGAACATCATTTCTAGAGCTAGTTATCTTTTAAACTTCTGTGATTTCAGAATTTTTTTTTTAATTTATTATTTTTTATTTTATCAATTTAACTAGCTAGCATATGACTAACTAGCTTACTGAAGCTAGTTAGTCATTGTCGAATTGTTTTTATTCCGAAATGAGAACAGAAAAATCAGGAGTATTTATTTCCTTTTGGATGAACAAGAAAAGTATCTTTAGAATATAATACTACAGAAAAATTTTTTTTATTTGCCTTCGTATTTTTTTTCAGCTATTTTATTGCTTTAACTCGTTCTTTACTTTTTTTTTTTAAATTTAAAATCTATAANTATTATTAAATGCTGTCTATTTTTCCGTTTTTAGAATTTTTGAAATTTAATTTACAGGATATTCACGCGCACCTGGAAAGTCATGAAAAATCATGGAAAGTCATAGATTTCGGTATTGAACAAAATTTGTCATGAAATGTCATGATTTTAACTATTTTTTTTAAAATAAAATCAAGGATTGTAGGCCTCTGAAAAATCGAATTTTTAAAATGGAATTTACAAATTTCATAGTATTCCGAATATCTGAATTAGTAACAAAATCACAGTCCTATTTTATTAAAATATAAGATGTTTTTATCCTGATCTTTAAATAATAAAATTTAAAATGCTTTTATCCTGATCTTTAAATATTATGAATGGTGTTCTTTCAAAAAATGAAAGAAAGAACATCATTTCTAGAGCTAGTTATCTTTTAAACTTCTGTGATTTCAGATTATTTTTTTTATTTATTATTTTTTATTTCATCAATTTAAAATGCTTACTGAAGCTAGTTAGTCATTGTCGAATTGTTTTTATTCCGAAATGAGAACAGAAAAATCAGGAGTATTTATTTCCTTTTGGATGAACAAGAAAAGTATCTTTAGAATATAATACTACAGAAAAAATTTTTTTATTTGCCTTCATATTTTTTTTCAGCTATTTTATTGCTTCAACTCGTTCTTTACTTTTTTTTTTTTTTTNACTTTTTTTTTTAAATTTAAAATCTATAAACATGAAGAGATGCAGAGTATAACAGTTTTGGTTATACTTATAATTTCAATAAATGTTATTGAAATGCTTTTTTAAATTTATTGTTGCGTATTTGTCGGAGAAAATGGTAACTTCGTTAAGTCATGAAAATTTCTTGGAATTAATCATGAAAAGTCGTGGATTTGAAAATTTAAAATGTAACAGCTACCTTGCATTTACCTATTTGTTTAAATAAATGGAAATAGATTTGAATAATGTTGAAAAATAACACAAAAGCAAGACCGGTTGTGAAAAATCTGAAAATAGGCAAATTAGTCAACTAACTTCTCAAAAAATGCTAATTTGTATTGGACGCAATTTTGACATAAAAAATCGTTTGAAATTCTAGATTAATTCTGGCTTAATTGGATGACGACTTTATTTTTACAATTTTATTTTTACACATCCAGTACCAGTTTATGTAAAATAATGAATAATGATCAATTCTCCCTTCCTTTACACCCCTTTGACTGATTTCAATTAGAAGTCAGGAGACCTTTTAAAGGCGGAAAGAGAATAATTTGTTTATCATTTCATTCCTTTTCATTCAAAATCGTTTTCTTGCTTGCAATTTTATGACGTGACAGAGATGTTTCCTCTCGGAGGGGGTGGAACATCATAAAGTTTAAAATGTTTGGAACAATATTTTTCATTTACAAATTTAAAATAAATTTAATATTTCGCGTAGTCATTTTTGTATGACTAATACTTTAAAAATGCTATGTATTTTTTGTTTGGCTACGCAGGTTTAAAATATTGCTTTTATCCTTTATTGGTAATATCTTAACCCTTTGCACTTTAAAATATTGTTTCAACTAATGTGAGAACTAAACTTTTTAAAATACACTATACGGTAATTTTTCATAATTTTTAGAACTCATAAAATAATGTGGTTACTAATTAAGATATAAATTTTTTTTTTAATTTTCGAGTTTTTGCATTAAATTTTAGTTTTAAATTTAGTTTTAAATTAAATTTATTCTTAACAAACGATTTTTTTTAAAAACTGTTGAAGTGAATTAGCAGCACTTGAATCGTTTCTATTTTAGAATTTTTTTTTTTTTTGGTTCTATTTATAATTTCCTTTTTCAGAATAAGAAAACTGTAAAAAAGAAATTTATAAAAAATGGAATTTTTTTTAAATTACAGCTTTAAGTTAAGGTTTGATTTATGTAGAATACAGAAAATAAGAGAAATCTAATTCGTTTTGTTAAA